ATAGATAGATAGATAGATAGATAGATAGCAAGGGCTGTGACATAGACTGTTGTGTGTGTCAGAGAGGGGAGCTTTATGGAAGACACTGGAGGAGATAACCTTTGAGCTGAGCCTTAGATAACAGAAAGGAAGCAGTTGTGGGAAGATTGGGGGACAGTGATCATGAGGGGACTGTCAGTCAAGCACAGAAGGTCGAGGTGTGAGGGTAGAGCCATGCATAAGCCCCTTCAAATGTCTTGGTGGGAAACACTCTCCCCCCATCCTTCTTTGGCGTAAGACAGAGACAACTAGATACTCAGAGACAGACGACATCCAGGGCCAGACATAAAGCTACACAGATAAAGGATAAAACAGAATTTACCTCACATAATTTCCCTCCTAGCCCTTATTCCTCACCGGAAGTCTGCCATGAAGGAAGCCCTCATGCTCCAAGTAGAGGTTATGCTAGTGAGATAAGGAGATGGGGACGAGATGGGGACCAGATGGGAGTTGTTTTGGAGAGATAAGGCAAAGGAAGGACACTGTTATTTTCTGGTCTTCCTGGTTTATGTTAGTTCTTAGAACTCCCTCTCCATTTTGGGGTGACCCCAGTGTTTATGCAATCCTGGAGAAATCTGGATTCTGCAGGCCTATTGTTGAGGGCTGAAGGCCATGAAGCAGAGCTCCGTAACACAGGGACGAATGTGGGGGAAGGAAGACTCTAGGCAGAAGACAGGTGGAAAGAAATGGGAAAAACGAGGATGAGGTGAGGAAGACAGAAGAGTGGGAAGGATTTACAGGTAATGTGGCTCATCCTGTATTTTCTCTGCCATGGTCATGTATCATGACCACCATCCTCTCCCTTCAGCCCACTTCTTGGGATCCCTGCCCAAGCCCTTCAGCGTGTGGTCCTCTCCTCCTCCTCGCAGTGCTCATCTCCCTCCTCAGCTCCAGAGGTTAACTGGTTCCGGTTGCCCAAGTTGGACACCAGCCAGATGCCCCTCCCAGGAGCAGGGTTCCTTCCTCGAGGAGGAGGGTTCCTTTCTCGACAGCTCCCCTAGAGTCTGATCAGCTCCCGCAGGCCAGCCCTGGCCTGGCTACCCAGAGTGCCCTTTCCAGACTGCAACCTCTGCATCTGACAGCAGCCAGCACAAATTGAGCAGAAAATCCAAGCAAGCAGGACACCATCTTCCCCCCAACAAGGCGTGGCCAGATCAAGACCAGCCCAGAGCAGGCCCCGCCCCCGACATTGGCCCCGCCCCTCCACCGGCAAATCGCAAATCACGGGGGAGGGCGGGGGAGACAGAAGCTAGGCCTGAGGGCCTAGCCGGCCAAACTAGTCTACTACTTCCTCCTCCTCGCCCAGGCCACCTTGAGGTGCATGGGACTGTTTAGCTGATTGATCCGGCTGGAGTTGGCTTTGGGCCTGATCCTGACTGGATCACTTCTGCTCAGAACTCTTGCCCATCAGATGAGAGTTTGGAATTTATTATTATTTTTTAATCTTTTATTTATTTAGTACAGACTCGTAGTGATCCTCCTGTCTCAGCTTCCCTAGTGCTGGATTTACAGGCGTGCCTGGTCTTGGTGGCAGGCTGGGAGCACCTAGAGTTCCGGGTCCCGCACCTCATGCGGTACTAGGGATTGAACCTGGGTTCTTACTCTTGCCAGGCAGGCGCTTAAACCAGCGAGCTATCTCCCCAGCCTGAGAGTTTGGAATTTTACCCTCAGGTACTAGCATTGAGCCAGGCCTGGGTGCTTTAAGCTCAAACTGTTCTATATCCCACTTATTGACTTCTGGGGTTCCATCTCACTCTTCCTTGCCCCAGATTTTTATTTTCTTCTTTCTGGTAGTTGGCTTCTCCAGCCCCTTCCATCAGCACATCTGAAACCTTACCCATTTCATCTCCCTTTAGAGATCTGAAGTTGCACTCGGAAGGAGTTAGGGCTAGATCTAGATTTTGTGGGACCCATTTTAAGAAAAAGAATATAAAAAACGAGTATAAAAATTACAAATGGGGGCCTGCCCAATAGCTCAGTTGTTTCAGTGCCTGCTGAAACAAACCCCTCAAGCTCAAGCTTCTGTGGTCCAAACCCAGATAGTCAAGGCAAACCAGAAATGCCCTAAAGGCATCTTCGGGCCTCAAAAAAAAAAAAAAATTACATATGAAAGTATTATTTAGAACAGTGGAGGGGTGGGAAGCATTGGCTTAAAAAATTAAACCCAGAAATAGCAACAACATTAAAATTAAGGGTCTCACTATGTAGTTCAGACTGGACTTGAATTCACTGTGTAGCCCTGGCTGGCTTCAAACTCGCAGTGATTCTCCTGCCTCAGCCCCCAAATGCTGGGATTACAGGGGTGTACCCCCAGCTTGATTTTTTAAATGCTCTTTGAGCTACTTTTTCCAATGTTGTGTTCATTATGGTGATATGAGCTTTTGTCCCTAATCAGCAAGATGTTTGAAGATTTTCTAATGAACTTGCTTAAGTAATCCACTCTTCACTACTGTGTAGTTTAGGTTGGCCGTGAACTCACTATGTAGGCCAGGTTGGCCTCCAGCTGGTGGTGATCCTCAAGCCTCAGCCCCTGAGTGCTGGGGCTACAGGCATGTCCCATCATGCCCTGCTCTCAAAAGCCTTTATTTATTTACTTTTTGTGGTACCAGGGAAAAGCCATTTTTTATAAAGATTTATATTTCACACAGACATGTCTGCCATTTGTAGTGGTTTTTTTTTTTTTTTTTTTTTTGCGGAACCGCGGATTGAATTCAGACCCTTGTGCTTGCCAGGGAAGTGCTTATTCTACTGAGCCATCTCTCCGGCCCAGCCATTTGTAGTCTTACTACAGATTTGTACCCCACTTATAGGAATTCTGATACTTGCTAATTTATATCATTACCATAAAAATACACAAATGGTATATTTTTAGTATAGTTAATGGATTGTGGATAATATTGGGAGGAGAGAATATCAGTTTTGATATAAATCAGAGCCTCTGCTTCTGGTCTCTAATTTTCCACAGCCAATGCTTCTCTATCTCTGTCTGTTTCTGTCTCTGTCTCTGCCTCTGTCTCTCTGCACGGGGCATTGAACCCAGGGTCTTCACACTGACTTACATCCCCAGTCCATTTAAAATATTTTTATTTTGAGACAGGATTCTGCTAACCTGCTGAGTTGCTCATTCTGGCCTTGAATTTGAGATTGTGCTACCTCAGCCTGCCTAAGCACCAGTGTCACCATGCCAGGGCCTCACATTCCACAATCGGGAGAACTTTCCTCATGCTAGACTCTGGCTGTGCATAGCTTAATTTTGCCTTTTCTCTATTAGCTGCATACTATTTGGGCTGGGCACTGTAGGGTCCATGTTGCGGTGGTTCCTTTCATTCTATGCTGTTCTTTGACAACAGCGGGTAGTCAGCAGAACAGACGTTAGGAGTGTTTCTATAAAACCTTCCTACAGGGGCATAGTTATTAATAAGTATATGTAGAAGTTACTAAAAATACATATTGTTGCCTTTTATTAATTATTATTGTTGGCTATCAAATTTTTCTCTGGTTGTGTGTGGTGGCACATGCCTATAATTCCAGTACTTGGGAGGCCGAGATAGGTGTATCACCATGAGTTCAAGGCCATCCTGCATTACACAGTGAGACCCTGTCTCAAGAAAAAAATTTCCCCCCTCATATTTAGCAGCTTATATAAGGCTCTATGTTTATTTATTTTTTGTCCTGACAGCTGGCTTTATTCAGGCCCCGGTCAGCTCTCCCAAAGGGTTTCCCAGCGTCACTTCAGTCTCCTGCAGCCACCGTCCAGCAGACCTCTTCCTCCTCTACTGTCACCTGGGCACCAAGTCTGTCCAGTGGCCTCAACCAAGACTTCAAGGCATAGCCACTAGTTTAAAGGTGACCTCAGGCTTGGCAGGAACCACATGAACAAAGTCTTGTAGAGCACAGCTCCCTTTGGCAGCCTGGTGACCAGGTCCACAGCCTCCAGGTTGCTGGGCTTGGGCACATAGGCTTCTTTAGTGCAGCAGACTGTCCCCTCCTCCAGGGCGTACAGCACTTCCTCTTCCCCAGGCCCACGTGGGCAGCTGGGTGCCAGCCGAACTGGCGCTGCGTCCCAAGGGTGTTGCCAGCATGAATGTAGAGACCTTCCACTTTCTTCACTCCGAAATGTTTGCTTGAGAACTTCCCACCCAGGTTTTTGGAGCTGCCACCCATTTTCTTGAACATGTATCTGACAGCAAGAGTTGCAGCTGGAGGAGGGCTCAACAAGGCTGAGACCACAGAGCACGTCCTCAGTGTCAACACCATCGCCACCATGTTTGCCACCCAGCTGCTTCTGGTCTTTTTTTTTTTTTTTTTAAAGACTCTGTGTTTAACCCAAACATTGAAAAGAAAATTAGCAGTTTAAAATAGCACACACATTTATTTTTTTTCCATAATTTTATTGAGAAACAAATAGCTAAATAAGCACCTATTCCACTGAGCCATCTCCCTGGCCCATAAAACATGTGAG